GGACATGAATAAATGTGGATTGTTGTAAAAAAAAAAAAAAATAAGACCTACCCTGAAAATAAGACCTAGTGTGTTTTTTTGAGCCCCAAAAAATATAAGACAGTGTCTTATTTTCGGGGAAACACGGTAGGTGTGCTGGTGACATTTATCATATGTTTGAAGATGCGCCATCCGTGGTTACTACAGCACCCTCCTTTATACACAGGGGTTCCGGTGAGGAGTGCAGAAGTTCCTCTCCAAGAATGCGTTTACCACTCCTATAGTGTCACCCAGGAGCGGCCTGAACCCCCTAGTGGCGCCCCTGTGGCCAACCTTAAAGCTGGCTATACATCGTTATATATTTTTTGGTATAACCTGCAGGCTGAGTGAAAAAATATATAGCCGATTCCTCAATCTATGTTAAACAGCATGGATGGATGAATGAATCTCCTGCTGGGCTATTGTATTTTGACAGCAGCAGATGTGGCACTCTCATAATACCCCAACAGTGTACCCAAAAACTTTCCAACCAACCTCTTCTATTTTCTGATCCAGGAATCCGGGCCCGAAGGGTGCTGACAGGGCCACCCACTGAGTGAATGTTGGCCAATCCTTCTGTCTGGAATTCGCATAGTGTATTGGCCAGCTTAACACCAGAAGATGCTGCAGATCAGCACTATAGTTCATTTCGGCACACTTTTAGGGCAGGTCAGGTTCACATTTTGAATTTTCAAGATGGATTTCGAGAGGCTGAAAAGGGTTTTGATTGGTTGTTTTCTGTACGGGCTCAATGTGGAAGACTTTGTTCTCTCATCCACTGTCATTTCCAGTTCATGAATGGCTCTAATGTTCTATAACAGGGAAGGGTAGGAAAAAATAAAAGGAGTTGCCTATAGCAACCAGAAATAACTTGGCATCTCCCCAGATCGGATATAAAAAAAAATGCACATAATAATCTGATTGTTCTTTTTGTGACACCATGACATGAAATGGAGCGATTGTCACTAGGGCAGTAATGGAAATCTGACAAGTTCTAACCTTTTGCCACTTAAAGTGTTTTTGTTGCCATCTCTGTCCCCAGTGAAGAGATTTCCCATCACTTCCTGTATAATGATTATACAGCAATGCAGAATACCACCAGCTATGCAGGACTACAAGTCCCAGCAATATATTATACACTCTCTCTCAGCAATACACACTCTCTCTCTCTCTTCCCAGCACCCCCTCCCACTCCAAACTTACCTTACCTCACCTGCAGGCCCATGGCCCTCTTCCTCGTCTCTGTGGCCAGGGGGCGGAGCTAACAGGAGACTGCCCTCTTAGCCCCACCCCTAAGAGGCTTTCTCCGGGACAGGTGACAGCCTCTCCAGCCCTTTTGCACAGCCGCCCGTACATGCTGCGGGTGGCTGTGCGACAGGGAAGGAGCGGCATGATCGCGGGGGGGGGGCACTCTACTTCCTTGCTGGGTCCCCCCCCCAAAGTGGCGGAATGCCAGGGCCCCGTCGCAATTGCGACCGCTGCGACCCTGGTAGTTCCGCCAGTGCCATCTGTTTTGACCTGGCTGCCCTTAATGGCTGACTAAAGGTGCCCATACACCTTATGAATATCGGCCGATTTTCGTATGCGATCGCGTTTTCGTCCGATATTCGTAAGGTTGATGGGCAGTGTACAACCGCAAATACTGTACAATCAATTGACTTTTGACAGGTTAGAAAACTTCTGTCGATCGTACGATTTTCGCAAGGTTGGTGGCGTTTCCGTACGTCAAAATTGTATGATCTACACTGCACATTTCCAGACGAAAATACGTGCGGTCGATTACCGCAATTCGTTCAGGTGCTTTCTTCGAATTACTGCTGATTCAACCTTGCAATAATCGGTGCAGGATGTGGCCGCCCCGATTATCGTACGACAGTACGATCATTGGACTAAAAGTGTCGTCCGATGATCGCAAGGTGTATGGACAGCCCAACATTGGACTGTAGCGCAAATTATTTGGACACTTAATTGATTGATGAAGGGAAGTATTCATACATCCTCTGATTTACTCACTGCAGCTGTCACTACACACATAGGGGTAGATATCCATAAGCACGAATAAATGGACTTCCGATCAGATCTACCTGAAAACCTGACTGACGGCCCTGATCGGTAAGCCTGTGTGAAAGGGGCCTAAAGGCGTTTTTGGCCACTGATCCTTGGTGTGCTGGTGACATGCTTGCTCTCATTACAAGAGGGACCCGTCTCATACTTGACTCTGATCTGCCCATCTATGACCAATAGATTATGTTTTCAACGGTGAGGAAGAATAGAGGTATAACAAATAACTATTAGAGAAAGCTTATAGTTAGTAAAATGTATAATAATAATACTAGCCTAACATTATAGATTGTTTATAATTTTACAGGTTGTGATGAGAATCTCCACAGGTGTCCAATGCTTTGCGTTGTACAAAATGTACGTAGAAGTACTGATGACGTATCGCCAAGAGGAGAAACATGAAGAGACAAAATGAAAAGTGCTGGGGGCCAGTATTAATTCAAAATGATAGAGAGTGACTAATAGAACTGATTCCCATAGTCATTACCGTGTTGTTGGAACAGAATGTCTGTCATTGTCAAGTTGACCTGCAGAATTCTGTGTTAGTTCTAGGGATGAGTCTGGGCTAGACTGGCCAGAGGCAACAGATTTAGAGGAATGAGGGAGGAGCGATTCTGACACGCGTCAGTACAGGGTGATCCTGCCTACCGCTTCCTCTAGCTTCTCCTGTAACCTGGGCTGGGTCTCCGATTTACTGATTCCCCAAAGATCGGAAATCAGCAGAAGCTTTTTCCAAAATACAAATGAGATTTATTTTAAACACAAAGAAATGAGAATATCACCTTCTTGCTATCTAACCCTCATGATGGCCATACACCTTTTGTTTTTTCTCTCATTCAGCCCGCAATGCACTCGACTCCTCCAACAACGCTTAACAGCATTAAAGTGACATTAAACCCTCAGATTTTTTAACATAAACCAATACTGTAATGTGTGCCTTACTGTAATCCATGGTAGTTTCCCTTCTCTTTGCTGCTCTTCCTTTTAAAATCCTCATGTCTTCTCATGCTTGGGGAGAACTTCCCTTTGCAGCTCAGGGCCTCTTCCTGTAGTGCTGGCTCAGGTTGTGAACCTTACACAGACACCGTGTATCCATTCCAGAGACAAGGCAGTCTGCTGCAAAACAGAAATTCTGCAGAGCATGAGAACAGATACAGATTTAAAAGGAAGAGCAGCAAAGAGAAGGGAAACAACCATGGATTACAGTAAGGCACACATTACAGTATTGGTTTATGTTAAAAAATCTGAGGGTTTAATGTCACTTTAAAGTAGAATTAAACGCTCATTTTCTTTTCAGTAATGAATTCAGATCAAACAAATATGAATTGCCCGGCAAAGTATTTCTTTATATTTTTTGCCCAAGTACTTACAATCATCATGTTTCTAAACAGCTCCAGGTCGCTCAGCACTGCGTCCCCGAACTTCCTGACAAGTACATGATCACAAGGAACAGAGCATTCTCCAGGAGCCATCTGCTAGCTTGAAGAAGGGAGAAGGGGAGTGGATTGTCTTGCTGTGTCTGTTTGTGGAGACACACTCTGCTTACCAGCACACACAAAAGGTGGCTCCCTAGGACCCTGCAAGAGAAAGGAGCCATCCTAAAACAGGATATAAGGAACAGTGCACAGGGAACCAGCTGATTCTGCAGAAAATACTGGCTATTACACCTGCCACTGAGCAGAGGAGGGGACTGGAGAGATCACTTTCTTTCTCAGGTCCACTCCTCTGCTAATTGGCAGCAGGCAGTGGGTGGGCCCAGTCTGTCCCTCTAATTTTGCATTATAACTGCTCAAAGTAGGTTGGAATATTTTTTTTCTGTATGAATAGGGACACAAAGTATACATATAGAGGGGATTTCTCAAATTTAACTGCAAAAATGGAACTACACTTTATGATTTGCTATGTTATAGGGAACCACTAGATTAACGGTACTTAAGCAGTGACCCCCTGAAATATTTATATTTGCATTGAATTGTAGTGAATAGAAGTGCACTTCCTGCCATGCGAGTGTGCCTGGTACTCCTGTTCTGTAGCCTCATAGCTGGATATCTGCGGTGTTGGAGGCTCTGCTGCTCTTGAAATGACAGTTGGGGTTGTCACTACTATGCCGTTTATGGTTCTTATTGCTGGAGAGGAATCTGTACCAGAGGATTTGCACTGCCGGGATCCCCCTGCTTCATCTATTCTGTAGATCTATGCTTTCTAAACCTCTCCTGGGGGCGGGGGTCTGCTCTAAGAGCCCATTCACACCAGGGCGGTTGCGGATCAGTGTGGATACCACGCTGATCTCAAAAAGGAGGTTTTGGGAGTTTTTAAATTGCATTGCAGCGCTGAAACGTAATTAAAAACGTCCAAAAGCAGGCTGGTCAACGCAGTTCCATTGAAAGCGGTATGGAAACTGCACTGATCAGCGCAGCAAAAATAGTGCAGGGAGCAGTTCGGATCATGTGGAGCCACATAGTCGCATGAACAGTCCCCATAGCAATGTATGGGATCGTTCATGTCGGCGGATCTGTGCGGCGAACTGCCCCGGTGTGAACGGGGTCTAACGTGTGGAAGCAAAGCCCTGCCTCTACCAAGATGGCCACCTCTACACAGCGCAGAATAAGGCATGATAAGTCAGCAATGGGGAAAAAGATCAGCTGCATTGAGACCGAAGGCAATACTGGCGACTCGTCCTTTGCCCTTGCCTTTTTTTTGAGCACAGCCTTTACTAATTTGGTCCTCATGAATAAGGCCTGCGTGCAGTCTGTGTGCATATACATACATAACAATGCAGTAGCGCCGACTACACCATATGTATAATGTCACAATGTTAACAATTTCTACAGGACTCATTCTGTGATGGCAGAGGAGAAAAGATAAACAACATGGCAAGACTTCATGCAATTTATTATTAAAATAAAAAGTATTCCCATCAGGGAGAACAAAGCCGACACACAAAAGTAGTTTGCCATTCCAGACAGTCTTCTGTAGCGTTAACACGTGGGGAACATCGTTTTTCCTTTTCATTGTCCTGCTAGCCTGACGCTATAAATCTCTCATGTTGTTGCTGCAGCGATTCCCAAGCAGTAAAAACCTGATTGTGTACAATACTGAGGCATTCGGAGTCAGTGAAAGACATCTATTTCATCAAAGTCCGGTTTGTAAATGTTCCCATAAATCACTGCTTAGCCTTCTTAACAATAGTCCCCACAGCAGAAATGACCGTAGTTCTTGATCCACTCGCACTGGTGGTTACTGTGACGACAGAAGGCAGTGTGGCAGTTGTGGTGAGGATGGTCGGCTGGGCAATAGTGGTCATCGGTATAGCGGAATCCCATTTGCTTTTCCTTTTCTGTGCATCTGTATTGAAAAATATGTGCAATTGTTAGCTGGAAACTATGTTTCTGAACAAGGAACAAATCCCAAATTATTATTATACAGGATTTATATAGCGCCAACAGTTGGCACAGTGCTTTACAATACAAAGCATCATCAAACATTTGCATTTCATAGTATAGGTCACTAGAATGATCTATTTACCAGATAAAAGCTCCAAAATCCCAACAACATTAAGCAAATGACTTTAAAAGCTGCATTTTTCCCTTTTGGGGTACAAACATTTCTGGTTACTTACCCGCTGTGGCAGTAGTTATGGTGCTGGTTGTCCCTGTTGCTGTGCTGGTAGTTGTACCCTTCTTTGTACCAGTTACAAACTCAATCTAAAAAGTGAAAAACATCGATCAATCATCAATTCTCAGTTGCGGAGTTAATGTTCTTCCATATATGCCAAATCTAAAGCAGCAACAAGCTTTCAAACGCGAATAATAATATAATAAAATAAAAAAATACTAACAATGGGAAACAACTAGGGATGCACCGATATTAGTATTGGTGCCGATACAGAGTATTTGGGCGAGTACGAGTAATGCTCCGATGCCTGGCCCGATACATCCTGTATCAGGAAGCCGGGCAGCACGTCATTACACGCTGCCCAGCTTCCTGATTGGCCGGGAAGCCGGCTCCACCACTTGTGACGAGAAATCACAAGTGACGGCGCCCGGCTTCCATGATTGGCTAGCAAGCCGGCTCCATGCTTTCTCGTCACATAGTGATGAGAGGCATGGGACGGCTTCCTTGTTAATCGGGAAGCCGGGTGGCGATTCTTTACACGCTGCCCGGCTAATCAGGAAGCCAGGTGGCGAGTCATTACATGCCGCCTGGCTTCCTGAATGGGACTTCTATTACTCTGTATTTGGTATCGCCGAGTACCGAAAAAAAATGATCGGTACTCGGTACCAAAATACCGGTATCGGTGTTTTGGTAGAAACAACACTACTCACTATGGCTCTTTCATCCAGTTCACTTACACTTTCATTGTACTTCGAAGGGGTCTCCTCCCTGAGCCTTGCATACACTACTGATGCAACTATGCTTAATTTTTTTTTACCATTCATTGCCTTCAATGGCTGCATGATTGGCTTGTGTGCGCAGCAGTACCTATCATGTTGCATGTAGGTGCATTCAATGCATATTTGTGTCAGTCTGTAC